TGAAATATTATTATCACACCATCATTTTTCTCATTTCTCAATTTTGTTTATATCTTCCTCTTCTTTTCTGTACTCTGTTTCACTCTGTCAATGCCCTTCTCTCTCTTTCACACATACACACACACACACACGCACACACACACGCACGCACACACACACACACACACACTTTTTTCCTCTTTTCACTGGTCATTCGTGATCGAAACGTTTAATGAATTCGAAAGATTTTTGGGAAAACGTGAATGCACAACCTCTATCATATTGCATTCGGTAGTAGGGTTTAATACCCCGATTACCACTTAAATATTTTTCTAAAGAAAAGAAATAAACAAAGTAAAGTAGGAAAGATGCTTGGTCACGCTTATCAGCTCTTATACAAGCGAAACCTCAATATTATATTCTCTTCGTTTTACGCAATATGATAGTTCTGGCACGACCTGCCACTCCTCATGTTTGGATAAGTGCTGCGTCCAGATAAGCGTATGGACATTCTTCGATCCATCCATTAGCGATCACTAAAGCTCGTTCACACACGAGGCAATAACTGTCTCAAAAAATTCCGCCGCGGAAAATGAAATTACTTGGTAGAAGGCTTTTAGTATTTAATTTCGCTGCGCGCAGCTCCCCCTATCCCCCCTCTCTCTCTCTATCTCTCTCTCTGTCATTCTCCGTCACTTATCATTCATTTTTGTACCATAACAAATAGACTACGTGTTGGTATTCACCGGAAGTTGCGCTCGCTCATATCACTATGAATATGACTGACAAAGAAAGCGGACAAAATATACAGTTCCTCAGGTAGACAAAGGAACATCCCTTCACTGCTAGTATGTAAAAATGTGTAGAACAGGTGTCACGTGCATATTCACCTTTTTACATAATAGCAGTGAAGGGATGTTCCTTTGTCTACCTAAGGAACTGTTTATTTTGTCCGCTTTCTTTGTCTATCATGTTCATAGTGTATATAGATCAAATTTACATAGCAACAATGCCGTTACCTGCAACAGAGTTTGCGTGCCATTTGGAAGGGAACTATTCGGAGAGTGTTGTGCTCGCCTGTCACGACTATCTCTCTATTAACTCTATGATTTATGCGTACGATAATTTCAAATTTGTTGTTGCGGTTTCCATTTTCGTTTGTGTTTTACTTTCCTTTGCTTTGTTTTGTTTGTTTCGTTTCGTTTCGTTCGTTTTGTTTCTTTTCGTTTCGTTTCATTTCTTTTCGTTTTATTTTGTTATGTGTTGTTTTGCTTTGTTTTCAGTTTTTTTCTTTTTCCGAGAATGCACAGCGTCAGGTGTGAATGATGCGTAAGCTTGAAAGACGCTGTTATGCAAGGGCACGAATTGGTACAAGATGGCCCCTGTCAAACAGATGGCTGGAGTTGGTTTTAAATCGTTGCACCACATAGACTATTAAAGGTGCAATCTCAAACATGTCAGATAGGCTAAGATAAAATAACATTTAGCATTATTAGCAGTAATGGATCGCAATTAAATATGTAGGCATACGCCGTCGATAAGATGTGTCGGCTTGTATAAACGGAGATTAATTTGAGGAATAGCTGGAACGCAACCATGTAATCAATGAATGAAATATTGAACCCGAAATCAGGGAAGAGGAAAATAAGTCAAAGCTGGAGGAGAAGAAGAAGAAGAAGAAGAAGAAGAAGAAGAAGAAGAAGAAGAAAAAAAAATAGAAGTAGAACAAACGAAGATGAAGATGACAATGATTGCCAATGGTAAAAGAAAGAGAGAGAGAAAGAGAGAGAGAGAGAGAGACAGATAGACAGAAAGACAGAGACAGACAGACAGAGAGAGATAGAGTTTGAACTTGGAGGTTTACATATGAGAATAGGGGCTTGTGTAAATGAAGTAGTTTGGGGCCAGAAAGGTTGTTAACACATATACATTTACACGGAGCTAACGCCCTCTTGGCTCCAAACAAACACTGTCTGGCATGATTTAAATGTTTAAAATATTTGGAGACGCGTCTGTTCGCGTGACTTGGATTATGTGGATATCAGAGTTTATCTCCCTTAATAATTAAATTGGACCGAGCAGGGCAAATCATTAAGTACGCATTCACTTACAGATTTAGGATTTAACCTCTGCTAATTCAGGTAATTGGAATAATATAAATTTTTAGAGAGCTCTCTGATCCAATTATGATTTCCAAAATGCTTGAGGTCATTACTATACAGTTTTCTACATGTAATTGCAATAATATTTCCTTTCTTTAAATCCAAAAATATTTCTCTTCTTGTCTTGGTAATAGCCAACTGCCTAACATTTTATTCGTTTATCAAGAAAACAATGAGAATAGGTGTACCACATTTTAACAAGACGATCACCAAAAATGACATATAGTATTGCTTCAAATATTTATTCCTTCCGAAAGTTGCAGATTGGAACACTTCACCATCATCTATAGTGAATATTCAAGATCATAACGTATTCAAACCTCTTTTGCGCCTTAAGGATCATGATGATCACAGTATTAAAGTATTGTTTTATTATATCACGTGCACACCCAGTCTGATTCGATTACTCGACAATGAGTGTTGGACGGCATTTCATCAGATTCAGATTCAGATACAGATAGCATCAAAAAGTTTATGTTTAAGGAGACCACGACCTCGCAATGGTGAATTTTGCAAACCATCAAAGAACGCAAACAAAACCTGAAGTTCAAAAATTCGTATCTCTTAAATTTAATATTCTATAAAATTAACAATTTATCAAGTTACAGAAGCTTAGATGGCATTTGGAATTGGAACGTATAATAATAAAATAATATATTGTACCCGAAAATCTTTAAATATACATATATACATATTTACACTGGTTCAATCTATGGTAGATAGGTTATCAGCAGTGAGAGCCGTGTAGAGTAGAAGTATGCAATATTGATTTTTTAATTGTAACAATGTGTCAAATATCAATGGGATGAGCACCTAATAGCTGCTGCACGGCACCACAATGGTTGCACTGCAAATGGATGGGCATTGTAGATAGATGAAAACGCATCTGTTAAGCAGTGACCTATTAAGCATTCGTAATTATACTTAATGGGTGGTGGTAACAATTAGGGCAAACTAATGGGGAAGGCGTAAGCGGCCATTTAGCTGGAAATAGCCCTCAACGATAAACTAGGACAACTGCCCGATTGAAAGGACTATCTATTTATCTTTGGTACTTTTATACAGCAAGTTTGAGTCTATTACCATTGTCATACTTTTTTATTCTTCAGATTTGTGTATATCAACGAGTTCATTATACTTTTTTTACACGGGAGAGGTCAACAAGAACACATACTACATTGTAATACAACAAATGCCTCATTGGAATGACTTGATATGTCTCAAGTTCAAATCCATTGCCATCTGCATTGCATCACATGAATTTATCGAGTCTGATTATGGACCTTGAGAGTTGCCTCCATAGAGAACGAACACGTGAATTGCAAGTCTACATTGTAAATGTTTATCTCAGACGGCCATACAGTCAAGAATATCCATCAAGGTTTAAGCGCGGTGTGGCCGAATTTGTGATTAAACTTTTACTTTGACGAGACACGTGGAATAATTGATTTGTTCTGGTTTTCGCCACTGTCCGTGGAGTTTAAGAAGATAAATAATTAAATCGTAGCAATCAAGGATACATTACACCAAGCTGACATCATCCCACTGCTGACATCGTACTTTGTTACCTGCTCTAGGTGCTTCATGAATATTTCATCGAACAAGAACTGGATCAACATGTCACAATAAGGGCAGATCATCGGGGAACTTGATGCAGCTGGAGCCTACTCAAACCATCCTTCTTCTGCCAGCCCACCTCCTCCCCTCCGTGACCTTTGATAAAGAAAGATGAGGAGCTGAGATAGTTTGCTAGAGGTAGTGCCGGTAGCCACCGGTCCTTAGTCGATACTTAATGTGGTCAAGAGAAAACTGGCGGGGTGAAAAAACAGAAGGTAGTGATCTGCCGGATTACAGAATCAATTTACATCTACTATAGATACAACCTCTTGTCACGTCTCTGGTACTTCACCATTGGGTTTAAGTCCATTGCCATCCGCGCATTGTATGTGTGTAAATACCCTGTACCGTACGCTTTCCTCGAGTCGGTTGATGGACTTTGAAACTGTTACATTTCCATAGTATAATGAAAATGTGGATTTGAAGTCGGTGTTATATCTAATTTTTTTGTCGAACAAAAAAGAAATCACCGACGTTTGTATTTGAATAAAGCTGAAGACGGGAAAAACAGTTTATTCTGCCTCACCAAAGGGCAAAGCAAGGAGCAAACTACTATTGATTTTGGAAATACTGATAATCTTCGAGATGTTATGCTTATTTTGAGAAAGGTCTTGTAAATAAGAACACGGCAGTCTGATTGGCATGTTACTGAATAATACTTCTGTGCTTCGACGTTGTTATTACCATACATCTTCGCAATAATCTAAAGAGTGCCATGTGACGATTCTTGAAACATTTACATTTAAAACAAGACATTTACGAAAGTCGTCAATGCAACGAGTTTGAACGTCTGCATTTAGATCTTGAAATGATCAACATGTATGCCTATTTATCTTGCGCTGATTACAGACGCAGACATCAATTAAATTGGTATTAAAATTGGCAGAAATCAATAATAGAGATCCGGAGAATCCTCTACGACAGCTTCAAGAGGTTATCAAATCCTAACGAGTTTCCTGCTTTCCGTTCAACACGTGTCTACATGATCTACATCATACCCGTAAATAAAAAATGCAAACAAATCAATCACATACTGATTATCATCTGATGGAAATTATTAAATATTATGCAATAGGCAGACGGTCATCTTAAACTCAAATACTACTTCATCCTGTCTTTTTTTTGGTTGAGAGGGAGGGAGGGTTGTTTAGGATGTTGATTAAGTGCAGGCCGAGTGAACACTCCCCCAGCAGGGGGGATCGCCACACAACCGGGGACATTAGTTAAAACGCAGACGACACACACGCGCGCCATGACCGAAAGAGAAAAGGTCCAGATTGCGGATGCTGCTCTCACGCTGTGCAGACGATTCATCAAAGCGCGGGAAAGGTTAAATGCTACCGAGTTCTTCTTCAAAGGAATTTTAACCGTCTTTGCTACACAGGGTTGTTGGTCGTTTACATGTTTATGGTGAAATAGTGAATACGTTTCCTAAACGTATAGTGGTATTTCTTCTGTATACGTATGTGAACTTCGCCTTAATTCACTCTATCCAATGGAATATATCAATGCTTTAGCAATCTCACAAGTTGAGTATTAATTGTAAACTGCAATTTACTGTACTTTCGGATGACGCCAGTTTGGACGTTTACTATGTGTATACACGATGACATGAGTACAATGCTGAGTGATTATATCTAGCGTGTCATCGCGTGTCACTCTGACACATAACGTTTATTGTGTGAGCCTTTCACTGAAAGAGTTCACTTTTTCACCATCCGTCCCCTTTTTCTAAATGAAGTTGTGATAAATCACATGTACCTGGTGGCAAGTTTCAAGGCTTCACAATGGATGTTTATTAAAAAACGAGCAACGATACCATCACGTGACCTACCTAGAGGTGCCGTATAGGCGTGAAGTACGGACTTTTGAACAATATAAGGTCGTCTGCGTAAAGAAAAGCTTTGTTTTGAGAGTGCAATTTTTTCCTCTTTTTTCTAAATAACAATTGCATTCCCTATCTTTTAGACCCTTATACAACATACCACATGCACGCACCGCAAAGCAGCCACTTCTTGACTTGGTTCAGGAAGATGAACTTCACTATAAACTAATGTATTAATGGTGACACTATCTTACACTGGCGTGATGAAGCATGAACAGAAGGTCTTGGCTTGCGGATTATTCGTTTCAGATTACATATGGATAAGACTTTTGGATTATTCATTTCGGATTATACATGGATAGCACATCAGCCCCCGATAAAGTATGGATGAACGCACTGAAGTCCTCTCGCGAAGTCGATGCTCTTGCTAGAACTTATGTAGCTCGGAGAACGTGTTGATTCGCGACCGAAACACTGTTTGTTGTGACTACATTAGATGCACACTTTAGTGCATTTGGGATTAATCATTAAGTACATTTCGAGCTTCGGCATGAACGACATACTGATCAATAATCTAACGTTGGCTTTCGTCATGTTTGTGCTGTTATTCTACCTGGTAATTCCTGCTGTTTTAGGACAGGACAAAGAGAATACCACACGAGATGATCTAAGTCCATCTGATGGAATGGGAGGTATGAATTGTTTTATATACAACGATTACGTTTTTATTAAATATCACCATAATTATATCACTGTCACACCGCCTAAGCGACTCCATACCGATATCAAACCAACCGATTCGTTACAACTCATGATTATGTAATTTTGTTGGTTCAATCGTTTTTGGTATGGTGTCGGTCTCGTTAGTGTAACTGGGTCTTATACAATCCATTCTCTTGTATCAAATAACCCATCGCTACCTGTGTCACATGCTTGTAGACTCTGAAACTACAACCTTAGATATCCCACATGTTAGTCGTAAAAAAAACTGTTATCAACTCATTCTGATTTCTAATGTTTCAACCGTCCTACTGTGCAATGTTCGGCTGTTTTCCCATATCGTTCTTAGAAAGGCGTACACAATCTGCTGAGGAAAGATTGTCACTCATTTTCCTCTTATTCATTCATCCTTGTAGAAAATGTTCGATATAATACGGTTGTCGGTTTATAGGTTTCAAACTCAAAGCCTCTTGGCATGCTTGAGGCAGGCAGTGTTTTGTTGGTCAACATAATACAACTGATCAGTGTTCAGTTTTCTACACTTATGTACCCAAATTTAATACATACGTCTTTGTGAAGTGCCTCAATACAAATACTCTATTAAATTAAATTCAAATTGTACAGTGCGTCCCAGAAAAAACGAAACCGAGAAGTATCGATGTTTTTTCATAACTTAATCACAACCATAATTAATGAATGATACATATTTGGAAAGCTGAGAGTCTTCTCTTTCAGTTGATGCTACTCACGTGATGCATATTTCACGCATGAGTGATTAAAAGCAATTTGAAGGAAGGAAACCAAAAAGTAATTTGGCCGGCGGTATCTGAATTTCAAAGATAAATTCACATTATCTGAGGAGCATCACATGAAAGAGGAGACTCTAAGTTTTCCAAATATGTATCATTCATTAATTATAGTTGTGATTAAGTTATGATAGAACATCGATACTTCTCGGTTTCGTTTTTTCTGGGACGCACTGTATATGTCCGAAAGGAAATTTGTTGCCTTTACATGCATTATTCACAGAAAAAAAATATACATGTGACATGATACATAGAACATAAAACGAGTATATAGAGAAAATGAACATAAACATATAGCACTTTAACATTCTCATTATATCGATATTTTCTCTGAATGTTTATTATTGACAATATTTGTTCCTATATCCAGAGTAATTACTAAAACAATATAATATATAATTATTATTACTATTATCATTATCAATATTAACATTTTTATTATTATTATTAAATGTATTGTTATTATTAGTAGTTTGACTCATTATATCATTATGATAATAATAACAATATATATAGGCAAACAATAAACAACAAACAGTTTAACAATCAAAAACTTTTATCCTAATAAATATGGTGGAAAAATAAGGATGTATATATCCTATAGTAAGTTAAATAAACCTAAATATGAGTGCACTCAGTGCAGTACGTATGCAATATGAATACCAATGAAAGGCAGTATGAAATAATTATGAATAAACAAGCAATTAGAAAAGAGCCTTTTTCATTTCATTTGGGAACAGATGGCTATTATCAGAAAGTAAGTGTAATTGTCCTATAATAAATACAAATAGATAATAATAATAATAATAATAATAATAATAATAATAAAAGTGGGTTCTTGTATAGCGCTCATGTCAGTCAGATTTGACCCTCCTGGCGCTCCCGATTATTACCCTGGCTTTAGCACGGCTGCCATACGGCGCTCTAGCATTTCAAGGAATAAATTCCTACCAGGTACCCATTTACTTTACCTGGGTAGAGTGTGGCAAATGTAAATCAATGTCTTGCCAAAGGACATTAGTGCGGCGGCGGGACTCGAACCGCGGACCTTGTGATCGACAGTCCGGCAACGTATCCACTCGACCACAACACCTCTACATTTGATCATTTCCTACAATCAAATAGAAAAGAATATAATACGAGTGATACATTCTACATTTTATATTTCATTCAACAGACGGATACAATTACGGAATAAAAGAGTTCAGGTGCGATTAATAATGTCCCCCTGCCACTAGTCAGAATGCTAAATGCATATATTACGCGTTGTTTATAGATAGGGCAAACTATAATATTTGTCCTATCTGACAAAAATTGGTGATCCAGTTCGCTTTTTGACTTTTGAAATAAAATTATTCGTATTAAAACAGATGAATGAAATAATTCGTACCGATGCATTTTACAAAGACGTATGCATTACATTTGGTTACATTTCGAAAATGGTCCATTCCTAACTTCAGCCCTGGGCCAAATACTAAACACTCAATTTATCCCTCCCCCATCCCCCCCCCCCCAAAAAAAAATAATAATAAATAAATAAAAAAAATAAATTAAAAAAAAAAAAATAAATAAATAAATAAATAAATAAATAAAATAAAAAAATAAAAAATAAAAATAATAAAAATAATAATAATAATAATAATAACAAATAAATTAAAAAATGCCACTCTTTCTTTATATATTTGAGGGAAATAAGGCATGGATTATTTAATGACCCCTCTGTTATGTAAACATGGACGACACAAACTAGTCCCATAAACATGTATATTGCCTATTACCTGTCTAATCTGGAATATGGCAAACTATCTCGCTTGTGTAAACATGTACGACACAAACTAGTCCCATATGCATGTATATTGCCTATTACCTATCTAATCTGAAATATGGCAAACTATCTCGCTTATGAGTACACATAGAAAGTCAAATACAATTCACCATTGTGTTGTTCTGGCCGAATTTGACAGTGGAAAATTGTTTTCTTTAAAAACATAAGGCAAAACGGCGAAGGAACACAAAGAAAAGGCACAATGTATGACGACATGTAACTTTTTGATTGGCCGTGTGTTTGCGCAACGAACCCACGTATGATAACATCATCATAATATAGTAAGAACGAAACGTTGCAGTGTACCTGGTACTACTTGTTTTGTATGTATTTCGTAGGTATGTGTTTTTCTTTGAACCGATAAATTATATTTTTTCTTCTATAAATTCAATGACATCATGCAATAAGTTTTTTATATTTTGTTTGTGTAGCACATTCCGTGAATCACGAATCAACATGTTACCATTGAATCATGATGACATGAATGTAGTGTCGGATAATAAACGAATGCTCATTTGTTGCAGAGTTAGATAACAACAAGGGCATACATTATATTTGTATTCTCACTTTCAGAAATATAGATAATTATATGAACTATCCTTACTTTGAAATATTTGATGGGGCAAGCCTCACCCCCCCCCCACACACAAAAAAAAAACACAACAACAACAACAACAACAATGTATAAATAACAACATAGGAAACAAAACAACAAGGCAAACTATAATTTATAAAAAATAGACAGCGTAATTACAACAAGTATACATTGTTGCGAATGGTTAGATTTATCGGGGAAACGGAAGGAACTTAAACTTGTATTTGATAATATGATAAAGAGTTTCCCAAATATGAAGCATACCTAATGCATACAAACTATTAAAGGTATGGAACAAACATATTTCTGCTCAGGTACAATGATTGTAGTTTAGAGAATTACAACTTTAGTGACAATTATTGGAGGGTACCTTCGTTTGGCAAATAATTATAACTATTCGTTTAGCACTTCTGTGTTATAACTAAAGATTAAGGTTTCATTATCGTGGTCGAAAGGTGCATTGACAATACCTGCAACACAACAATAAAGCTCGCCTATGACAGCAATGTTTATGTTATTGTTGAAAGCCAGAGTGGTTTATAATTTTATACAGGGTTTCCGCCCTTTTGGCTGTGAACAAACGATGCATTAGACCATTATAATGTTTTACACCTCGGTCGCACAATATTCCTCTGGAATCCGTCTTATCACAGATTCCCGACACCAATCTATAATGATGGCCATCTCTTAAGAGCAAGGATGGCGTTAACTTATTTCACTTTGTATTTAGCCTAACGCCCTTCCGGTTTTGAGCAGGTGTGACGTAGCTAATAAATGTAATTATCGTCATCGTTGTGTTATTACCATCCGGGACTTTAAGGTCGTTGTCTTTTCTTTTTTTTGCCTTTTCATTGGCTGTGAAATATAGGGGCCTCATTACTAAATTGGATCGCTGGAGGCTGCATGTTGGAGATTCCTCTTATGTTCTTTTTACACAAGAGGGAATCATTATTTTTCTTGATAAATGGTTTTCTCGCTTTTGTGGTGTACAAATTCAGTGTATAGAATAAGAAAACAAAAATTATTACATTTTTGTGGTGCACCTGGGGTTCCTCCGAAATTTACTCAAAAAGCTATGAATAAATGTAAAGAAAATGTCATTAACTATCTCGGGGGAGGGGGGGGGTAGGTTTTAATTCAGAAATTCTCTATCAGGCAGAATTTCTTTTTAAAGTGAACGGGACATTTGAGTTCGGCTTTGAGTTATTAACTTTAAGCATAGTCAAAGACCAAGAAATCATGGGCGTGGGGGAGGGGGGAAATTTGATATTTGCCTCCCCTTCGTCCCCCGCCCCAATGGGTAGGAGACCATAAAGTATAAGAAAGAAGATTGCTCTTGTATTCTTCGTGTTGGATGTTGCAGATCAATTGTATTCCCTTTTGTAATCTTGAAGACGGATTGATCCTCGTAATGATTACTAACAGTATTCCCTAGAATTTAGAGGAGAGAAAAAAAGATAAAATATACTTTAAAGTCACAATCACGCCCAGCTTGGCTATAGATTATACCTGTTATCTGGGCTTATCTTCGTGATCTTGTCCTATTATGGGATAAAGAAAATGAAGTGTTTTCAACTCCGGACCAGCTGTAATAAGTTGTTAGGTAACTATGTAATTGTAATAGGTTTCCAAGAATGACGTTATCACAGAAATCTGTAATTGACAAAAATTTATTTATGTTGATTGCCCAATATGTCTTTGATTTGTTTTTCCTTTTTTTGGGGGGGGGGGGATAGGGGTGGGTTT